GCATCTTCTGGAAGTGTTCTTTGAGTTATCTGATCTGGTTGGACAGAACCAAGCATTGAATTTGGAAGATGAATGTTCATAGCATCTTCTGGAAGTCTTTGAGTTATCTGATCTGGTTTGATAAAACCAATCATTGAATTTGGAAGATGAATGTCAATAGCATCTTCTGGAAGTGTTCTTGAGTTATCTGATCTGGTTGGACAGAACCAAGCATTGAATTTGGAAGATGAATGTTCATAGCATCTTCTGGAAGTGTTCTTTGAGTTATCTGATCTGGTTTGATAAAACCAATCATTGAATTTGGAAGATGAATGTCAATAGCATCTTCTGGAAGTGTTCTTTGAGTTATCTGATCTGGTTGGACAGAACCAAGCATTGAATTTGGAAGATGAATGTTCATAGCATCTTCTGGAAGTATTCTTTGAGTTATCTGATCTGGTTTGATAAAACCAATCATTGAATTTGGAAGATGAATGTCCATAGCATCTTCTGGAAGTGTTCTTTGAATTATTTGATCTGATTCAGTAGGAACCTCAGAACCAATCGTTGGAATTAAAAGATGAACTGCATGATCATCTTCATTAAGAAGTTTCTTTTCAAGCTTCTTTTGCTTATTCCCTTCTCAAAAATCATAGCCCAAATTTCACTTTTTCTTGTAATGGGGATCATTGCATAATGACTTACTATCTTTTACCAGAAGAAGGGCATCAGCAGCCTTAGTCATTTGCACAGCACATATAAAATTTATCAGTTCTGCAATTGATGAATCTGGACCACGTCTCTACATGGCTATTGAAGCTTCAGCATCTGAGAATCCCATTTTTGTCAAGTATAACAGTTTATTCTCTTCATCAGAATCAGAATTCAAGATTTCTTGGTATTAGAAGAACTATCGATATCTGTAAAATCATCTTGAAAGGTCACTTCATAATCAGATGAATTGTTATCAGACTCAACATGTTGCCTGAATGCAAGCTTTTCAAGAGCCTATACTATTGAGTTTTATTCTCAAGAGGTTTTGTGACATTATATCTACATCTACATTTGTCAAAGATGATAGATTCTCTGATTCGAAGAAGAAAGATCTATTGGGTTTTTTACAATTGAAGAAATACTCAATTCACCAATCTGAAATCAACAACTTAACATTCATGCATAATTTAGGCATTTGCAAAAATAGATGCATTTTCATTCATTTTTATTCTTGTTGAAATTTTAACAGGAATTTCAAAGATTTTAGCAAAGATTCAAATCCATCATTTGATGGATCAGCTTTTCCAGAAAGAGTTCATAATGAGAAGAACTCATCCGAAGAAGGAAGAAGAAGTTCATAATGAGAAGAATTTGTTCAACCTTTTACCTGAATCCATCATTTGGTGGATCATCTTTCCAGAGAAAGTTCATAATGAGAAGAACTCATCTGAAGAAGGAAGAAGAATTCATAATGAGAAGAATTTGTTCAACTTTTACCTTTCATCACTTGATGGATCATTTTTTCCAGAAAAAGTTCATAATGAGAAGAACTCATCCGAAGAAGGAAGAAGAAGTTCATAATGAGAAGAATTTGTTCAACCTTTTACCTGAATCCATCATTTGGTGGATCATCTTTTCTAGAGAAAGTTCATAATGAGAAGAACTCATCTGAAGAAGGAAGAAGAAATTCATAATGAGAAGAATTTGTTCAACCTTTTACCTGAATTCATCACTTGATGGATCATTTTTTCCAGAAAAAGTTCATAATGAGAAGAACTCATCTGAAGAAGGAAGAAGAAGTTCATAATGAGAAGAATTTGTTCAACCTTTTACCTGAATTCATCATTTGATGGATCATCTTTTCTAGAGAAAGTTCATAATGAGAAGAACTCATCAAGAGCTTATTCAACCTTTTGAATGACTCTATCACGGAAATGAGGTCATCATCATCCCCAGCAGAAAGTTCATAATTAGAAGAACTTATTTGGAGAGAGAGAAGAATTTATTCAATATCTCCATGATGATCAAAGTAAAATCAAATGGATAAAAAAATTTATTATCTTTTCATCTTTGCCCTATTCTTGTTAACACAAGAATGAGCAAAGAGGGGCAGCTGAAGATACTAATTTTTTTATCCATATTATTATTATTATATTATTATATTATTATTACTATTATATTAAATATATTAAATACATATAAATATTATTAAAATAAATAAATAATAAAAAATTAATTACAGGCCCAATTACAACTGGACCGGCCCGTTACAACCAACCAGAGCCGGTCCAAATCCAACCAGAAACCCTAAATATTTGGGTTTCCAGTTAGGGTTTCCTAACCCTAATCTAAACCAGCCGCCTCATCACAACCGTTGGATCTGCAAGATCCAACGGTCCACATGGTTCCAGAGAAACCCTAGGGTTTGATACCCTAGGGCCACGCGGCGCCGCTCCAGCTTCCACGCGGCTGCCGACAGCCCTCACCGCCTCCGCCGCTGCCACGTCCCAACCGAAGACTCCAGAAGATCATATACCAGCCGTCCACGCCATGGCTACTCGGTGAGTCACCACTGGTAGTCCGGTGACTCACCGAGAGCCCTTCTTCGGACCGGTCGACAGCTACAACGGTGGTGGCTATAAAAGCCACCACCCATCTGCGAAAAAAAAAAAAGGACAGAGATATAGAACGAGACAGAGAGAAAAAAAAAGAATAGAGAGAGACATAGAAAAAAAAAACAGAGAAAATACAAACTAATACCAACGATCTCAGCAGCAAGAAAACCAAGAAAAAAAAAGAAAAAAAAAAAGAAAAAGGAAGAAGAGACTTACCGAGGAAGCTCGACCACGGATCTCGCCGGATACAACAAAACGAAGGTTATTTGTAGATCTGCTCCGATTGGGAGTCGTTTAACGGGAAAAAGTATCGGGACCGTCATTAGGACGGTCCGATCTACATTTAGATGTAAAAAAAAAAAATTCCGGCCACCGAAGACGGTGGCCGGCGGCGGTGGTTGACGGCGGATGAACGCCGGCTAACGGCTGCCGGCCGGCTGAGCTTCTCTCAGTTTAGAGAGAAGACAGAGATTCTCTCTCTTTTGAGAGAAAGAAAAAAAAAGAAAGAAAGAAATGAAATGGCTGGCCCTTCGGGCCAGCCGATTTGGACTCTTATAGCCGAATTTCGGGAAGGACTTCGTATTTGTAAATTTTACATTTAGTCACTAAATTGAATTTATAATATTTTTAATTTAGTCTTCGAATTTTAATTTTATTTATTTTAGTCCTTCATATTAAAATAATATATATTTAGGATAAATTACAGATTTAATCCATTAATTTTAATAAATAATATTTTAATCCTTAGTTTATATTTTTAATTTATTTTATTCTAATATCCAAATTTTAGATAATTTTATTTTAGTCACCAAATAAAGAAATAACATATTTAATCCCTGTAATTTAGATTAATATGAATTAGATTTTAATTTTATTTTTCGTTTATTTTATATGTTTTCATTTATTTTATTGTTTTTAAATATATTGTTTTAGTGGTATTTGTATTTTTATTATATTATTAAATATTTTATTAATTATTTTTATAAATATGTAATAAATAGTATTTTTTTTTTAATATTTATTTTTAATATTGAAGAAAAAGGACAGCTAATACAACTGGATGTCCTATTCTGATATTTTAAAATTAAAAGTAAACCATATTATTTAAATTAATATTATCAATATCAAAGAAAGAGCTGTCTTAAGGCACCTAGAAGTTCTTTTCGGATATTTTTAAATAAATATTTTTTTATATAATTTTGAAATAATAGGATTATAAATTAAATATATTTTTAAATTTTTAAATTTTAATAATAGAGACAATTTATAATTAAAAAGTACCAATTTTGGGCGTTATAGGGGTGCTAATCCTTCCCTAAACGTAACCGACCACGAATCCCTTTTTATTATTAAAAAGAACGAATTTTTGGTTATAAAACACAGATCAGTTCATCTTTTAAATATGGTTTTCTTAAAAACTCTTTTAAAAGATAATTTTTAGGATATTCGACCTACCTGATCCAAAAGGCCGATGGCGACTCACAAATTATTTTCAAAATTATTCACATCAATTTCCCCGCCGAATTTAATATTTCGTGCCCGGACGAAAACCGGTTACGACAGTCTCCTGCATCGATTATTAGATTTAAGAGCTCAGGTTAGTTTAAACATTAAAATAAAATTTTATTTATTTTTGTCATGAGAACCTGCTTCTAAGCAAATTTAGACAAGAGGCTACCCTATTCTTCATTTACTTTAAATATCCATAACCGATGCATATTTAGATATGAGTGAAGGGTATGGTCTATCAAGACCCTCCAAATCCGTGGAAAACATTAAAAAATAGATTGACCATACCAATGTCTAACAAATACTTGTATCTGACACTCACATTTAAATCCGAATAACATAAAGTAGGGATCAAAACAGAAAGATCTAGTTGTAAGTGTGAGACAAAAGGAAAAGCTGAATGGTAAAAAACAAAAAATGTATCTTGTTGTCTGTGTAGTTCAATTCCAATCCTGTTATGGGTGGTTGATGCCACACCATTCTTTAGAGATTGACATGTGTAACTGATAAGTGATGGTAACCCTTGGAACTTGTTGATATTGCTGGCAACCACTTTTATCAAATTATTTGTGGGGATGGAGAACGAGTGGAGTGAAATTGTGAGCAGGATAAGATGTGATATGTTTCTTTCAGCTTCCTATCAAATACCTCAATTTAGCACTTTTTCCCCTACAATGCTGTCAATTGTTCACAAGTTCTTTATCTCAACCCTGTATCTCAATGTGACCCGCAGGTCCTTTTCATCTAGACTTATAGGGAACGTATTTGTATCTTCGTTCACTCTCGAATTTGAGTAACATAAGTCAAGACGAGCTCGATTGGCCTCACAATTGTCTTAACCGAATTTGGTATGAAAATGCAAAATATCTATTTATTTACTAGGAAGAAAGTGAAAAAAATTACCGCAGGCAAGATTAGTGCCATGAATTAGCACATCCTTGGAGTTCTGTAGGTGGATTCCATCTGTATTAGGACTGTCCCCGGAGATGAGATGGCCATATCGTGCACCACAACTCCAATGCAATTATCAAACTTCAGATGGAATTGGGGACTGTTTTGAATGGTTATGCCGGTGAATGTCACATTAAAGCTCCCATAAAACCTTAGTGCCTGAGCAACAGAGTAAAAAAAAACAATCATAGGGCTGCATAATCAGGAATAAAGATTGATTTTCCCCCTTTTATTTCATTGTTTGGAGCGGTCTTTACAGTTGGTTTGATGTTTGGCATTTTCCCATTGAGTTCATTTCTGATCTGCCACCCAATTTATATGAGAAAACATGATTAGTTTTACTGACATTCAACACTAGAGTTTCAGGTGCAACTGGAAAGCCGCAGTAGGTAATTACCGGCATCGGTGGCCTTTCTTGAACTGTTCTGTTTAATGGGATTATGAGTTTTTCTTCATCATCATATGGATCTTCATATGGTGCATCTTGCCACCACCCTGATCCTCTTCCATCAATAATACCTTTTCCCTGAACTGTTATGCCTTTCAGCTTTGTGAATTCAAGCCATTGTAATATACCTTTGCCCCATGGTTGAGAATCTGTCGGAGCAATAATTGTACCGTCCAGCTGAAGAAACAAAAATTTGGATTATTAGTGTTCGAGACCCATTTTGACACATACCGCCGAGACATAGGTACAGCAATATAACTCGAGTTTACCAATATTATTGTATCTGTTTCATTTTCCTATGTTAGTGTTTATCTGGATTCTCACATGCTTTTACCTGAAATACAATGTTTGCTTGACAGTAAGGACCGGAGAACGAAATGGGTCCTACTAGGAAGATGGATTCGGCCGGAACAACTACTGTCGATGCTTCCACCTTACACGCAGCTGCCCATGCGGCTTGGAATGCCTGCTTTGCACCATAAACAGAGAATAGATGAGTGCCACAATAAACTAAAAGTTATATACTTTACAGTTGAGATGTTGGTTAACACTGTTTGCTAGGGTAATTAAAATATTATTTTCTCTTCTCGTGACTAAACTACCTTAAAAGAGAATCTTTCTTATTTCGTAGTGGAACCCACAGGCCCCGTGTAGTCCCTTATTACCCCCAAAATTTCTTTCTTTTCCTAATCAAGTAAAAAGAAAGGATATGCCTTTTTGCTTTTGACACTTGAAGTTTCATGTTTAACGCATATTCATGCCTTTTTGTAATGATAATGATGTCAAATTCTTAAGCGAACATTGAGCATTGTATTAAAGCATAAATGAGAATTTGACATCACCTGGTGTCATCAGTTTCCCATCACCCTTGGCACCAAAATGCAGCACGTCGAAGACCTTAGACTGCTTCCCTTTCTGTGGCGGCGGAGTCAAAGGGACTTTCACTTTAGGCTTAGGAGGTGGAGGAACTTTAGCCTTTGGAGACGGCGGAGTAGATTTATGCGGAGGGGATTTAGGCTCGGATCCTCCATTATGGTAATTGTGATGACCTTGACCGTGACTATCTTTTGTTTTCTTAAACAGTGAAACTGCAGCAGCATGTCTTGTCTGCCTCCAATGCTTGCCTTTTCGAGCAATGCAGGTTTCTATACTTGAAGACCACACCAGAAATGCTACCAAAAGCATAAATGTGAGTCTTCTTAAGCTGATACTCTTCATTCTTTCTTTTATTTTGGTATATCTCAAGGTGGGAAACGAGAGGAGAAAAAGGGAGTGAGAGAAAGATTGCAATTGTGCTTGAGAGCCAAAATAAAAGAGCAGGTATTTAAATAGGGAGAGGAGTTATACGGACTATTCACACATTGAGAGGAAAAAAAATATAAATTCATATATCCTTGATGAAAATAAATATGGAATTTTAAAGTAAGCACATATGATCCGGTAGTTAAACTGTTTTTCTTTGTTAACTCATATTCTCTTAGACTATGGTGCACTGATACAGATATGGGGACGGACACGGGGATGAAGACTGGGACGAAAAATGACAATTTCTAAAATTATAGGGTACGGGGATGATAAGGTATTACATATAAAAAATTTAAAATTATAAATAGACGTAAAAAATCATGAATAAAGTCAATACTTCATAAAAAAATTTGGTGTAACACTCTAATTTAACCCTAATTAAAAATCCTAAAATAATTTTGGTGGCTAATTTGAAAATAATGAAAACTTGTTGCTAGATTTGAAAGTCCTAGAAAGATTAGGGACTAACTAACAATTAGACCAAAAATTCTTTAAATTCTATTCTCACTCTTCTTCCCCCCTCCCCGGCAGCCGCTTCCTGTTTCTTCCTTTTATTTTTATTTTTCTTTCTTTTCAAAAACCTTTTATGGCCAGCGATACTCTTGGTCCCCGATTCTCTCTCTTTCTTTTCTCTTTGGTCGGCGATAGTCCCTAAAACGTCCACAGGTCTCGATCGAAATGTCCTAGACCTTGTACGGCTGGATCCCGCCACCATGGCACGTCCCCGATACGTCCCATAATCATCTTCGTGCTAAGAACGTATCAGTACTTGAAACGCCCTTTGTTGTCCCCGTGTTTCTTAACTCTTATATCATGGATTCTAGATTCACTAGAATCACTCAATTCCTTCTCTAGAGTCCCTTTTTTTCCTTATCCCCTCTAAATAGAATTAAGATTAGATTTATAATTTATATAAAAAAATAGAATTTTAACTTTTTAAAAATGCATATAAATGATTATATTTTTTAATAATGATATTAAGTAACTCATTAATTAAAAAAATATTAAGACATAATTATATAGTTGTGAAATATTTAACACTCATAGTAGTAGATTTCGTTGAATTAAGCACAAGTAGAGGTTCATAACTACACTCTTTAATTTTTGAGGGGATGAGAATTAGTGCAATTCATACGTAACATTATGTATAGTTAAAATTTGCACAGTCAAACATAATATGTGAAATTCAGATGTTATTGCACTCTGTCAGTCAAGCACGCCCAATAAATTAGAATTCTTTCTAATTACAGAACATAACTATTAAAATAAGAATTATATTTTCCTACTAAATAAATATATAAAATAAACTATATTATTATCCTATATCGAATTGAAGATTTTTCACCTTAAAATTAAATTCTCTATTTTTGAAAAAGTATAGTTCCATAAAATCAGATTAGACCAATAACTTATAAAATTCGGAATCATTCCTTAAATATTTTTTATATTAATCATCTTTTACCCTAATCCTTTATGTGAGTTTCGGTTGGGATTTCTTTATTGTGCTGAAAAGGAGTTATAGCAGGGATCCATTTACATGACACGTGTAAAAATATTGTTGCATATCACCTAATTGCTTTTGAAAATTGTCGTATCCTACATTTGTATTGTACCTAATATATATTGGTAATAAATCTAAATTATAAATTTTTAAATGTAAAAAGTAGAAATTTAATTACACATATTTTCACATTTAGTTTTAAACTTAAATGACTTTTAAATTTTTATTTACTATAATAAATGGAATTTCAGAATAACCGAGGGGAAAATGAAAAATCAACAGCAATGTCAATTTTTTCCTAACATTTGCAAAATTAAAATATCTAAAATTATTTAATTTCTAACAGTTTCAAACATAATTAAAATATATATTTTTATTCGTTATAATTGCAAAAATATTGTCCCAAACAAAACCTTATATTCAAAACTAAAAATTTGAGTAAAGTACATAAGGGATCATCAAATTACAAAATAGTCATTGTAATGTTATAAAAAGTATAAAAGATAGATAAATTTAATGACTATTTTGTAACAGTTTGATAAAATTTAATAATTTTGTAATAGTTTTGATAAATTAATGATCATTTTATAATGTTTAAAACTTAAATTCTTAAAAGGATTATTTGAGTACAGTTTAGTGACACCTAATATTCTTTATCTAAGTTTTTTGGGAATATAAGTAGATGGCATGACTTTAAACAGAAATATACTTCTCTATTCTTTTCTACCTCTGGTAACTGATTATTGTTTTTTCCGGAAAAAAAAGGAGTTTTTACAGTTATTTAATGTGGAATTAAAATTCAATGTTGAAAGGAAAAGAAAGAATAGAAGGGTACACGTGAATGGGTCTATGTGTTGGGGGCACTGATTATAATAGCTTTCTATTCTCACATGCAACGTTCACGGGCTTCAGTTCTTTTGCTTCGTCTTCTTAAACAGCAATTATTCTGATTTCTTTTATAATTTTATATATGTATGTTCACTTTAGGGTATATATAGGGTGAGCAATATTTGTATGGGTAGTTTTGAAGTTAAATTTATGGGTTACTTAGGGTTTAGGACTATGGATTGAATTTTTAAAGATTCTTATTACTTTTGAAAAAAATCGTCCGTTTTGGAATATTTAACAATTTTTTAAAAGATTTAAGGTCAATATAGCATTCTTTTAAAAAATATTATGAAAAGTATTTTTGGATTTTTAGTTTTAGATTTAAGTAGTTTTCTAAAAAAATTGAATGTTTCAACGAATTGTTCGTGAACCTTTCGGTGGGATGTAATACCTCAAATTTTGGGTTAGTGACCAAAATGAATAAATTGAAAGTTTGGTGGCCAAAGTATAAACTTGGGAAAAGTTTAAGCATTAAATTATAATTTTTAAAATTTAGGTATTTTAATCTCATAAATGAATAGTTTACCTCAAGAATGACATTTTCGTGTTACTCAAATTTTTTTGTACAGTGTTTGTATTAAAATCTATAGAGGGATAAAATTTGAGATAAATTCAGATAATTGGATCGAATCAAATATTCGAAATATTTTGAAAGATAATAAGGAAAGGTCAATAATTTCATTTTCGTGCCTTAAAGTGATAGGATTTAATATGGACTATTTGATTTGAGTTAATTTTCCATGTTAAATCTGAGTCGTTGGATGAAAAATGACAATATTGTAAATTTGAGATTTTTTAAGGGCAAAGTTGGTAAGTACTAACTTATTAGTTTATTTTTTGACTCTTGGATGAATATTTTGACATGTGGCAAGATGGGAAACATTGGATTATAAGGGCAAAATGATCATTTTACAATAAAATGATTTTTTAATTCATTTTAATTAAAATGATAGCAAATGGCCTTAATTAAAGAATTAGAAATCTCATGAAATTTCAAGACTTGTTCATCTTTTTCTAAAGTGTTCCATGAGTTTCCAAGGTAAGAGGAAAAAAGTTTTCTTTTGATTTTTCAAGACTTGTTCATTTTTAATTCATTTGGAATTTAGAAGAAATCACGAAATACAAAATTGATCTATATAAAATTCTCTATCATATAGTACCATTTGTTCATGTTTTTCATGCTTGAAACCCTAAGTTCTTAAATTGGTTGGATTAAGGGGATGTTAGGTTTTGATGTTCTAAGGCTTGATTATGATGTAGTTGAATCATTTCCATACTTGAAAGATGGATGAAAAACTATTAGAAATGATGTATGATGAATTCAACAATTAAGGTTTTGTTATGGAATTGGAAGTTGAATTGATTTTTGATAGGGGATTGATTGCTAATGCTTAGAAATGATGTTTCGAAATTGAATTCATGTTTGAATCAAGTTGGAGATCATTCCTAAGATGACTCTTCGTTTTCGGCCATAAGGGGAAGATTAGGGAAAAAAATTGTGAAAAAATATTTTAAGGTTAGACATGATGAATGGATGATTGTACAGCTTTAGATCGTTGTTGGACCAATTTGGAAGCATGTAAAGGTTAGCGGGACCAAATCAAGAATTGTAGGAATAATGGATTTAAAGTAGAAATTGATTAGAAATTGATGTATAATACTTAAATGAATTGTTGGGAGCTTGAATTTGAAGTGAAATGGATCTTTTTTTAATAGTATGGAAATATTAGGATGAATTCTAAAAGAATTCATTTTGATGCTTAAATTGTGAAATTGGAAATGGTTATGTGAATTATTCATTGATTTAAATATTGAGGGATTTGAAGTTGTATTTTAAAGTGTTAGGATCGATATGGATCATATGAAATAGAATTAGTATCGAATAAGTATTGAAAGAAATTTTAGGAATTTCTTTCCTATTATGTTCCTATGTTAGTAAGATACTAATATGTAAATGTATGTGTTTTGCTAATGATGAATGTGTAGATCGTGACCTAAATCAAGATCAATGCAAGCTTAAAGCTAAGGAAAAAGTTCATGAGTGAAGCTTGAAATTGATAAGAAAAATCGACAGTAAAGTATACTAGGTGAGTGCATTCTTAATTATATTATTATATGTATGACATGAGGAAGACCTGCAATGAGTCAATCTTAAAAGTTTTGAAAATGAAAAAGATTTGAATCATATTATGATATATTTAAACATAGTAAAGATACTAATGTGCGTAATTACATTGAGCTATGATTTGAACGAAAACGAAAAGTGTAGGTTTGTCCGACTCGATTGAAATTAAATCTTTCATCGAATACTCTAATTTGACATAAAATGCTTTTTATCTAAACTATTGGTTTTCATGTCATGTTATGAGAAAGTGACTTTAATAAGTCAGTTTTATGTTATCATATGTTATTATATGATGTTTTCCGAATAATGATACATATGATATTTTACCTGATATTTTTTGCATTATGTCTTATACTTTGATGAATATATATTTTCACATATTTATTTTAAAGTTATGAA